TGAAGGGGGAAGGCCTGAGACCTTCAGGATGACCCAAGCTTCTGAATGCCTCGTCTACCAGGGTCTAGGGTTTAGGGTTTAGGGTTTAGGGTTTAGGGTTTAGGGTTTAGGATTTAGGGTGTGGGAGGTGGACTTCGTCTCAAGAAATCACCAGACAAGGCAAAGCTAGACTTTGGCCATTAGAGTGACATCAAGCCCCTTGACACCGAACCCCTCAACCCAACTCTAAAACCCCAAAGCCTAAACCCTAAACATCCCTAAGCTCTAAACCTTGAACCCCGAGCCGTCAACCTAAAGCCCTAAACCCTGAACCTGAACCCTAAGATCAGTTGCCTCAGGTGGCCTTAGCCTTATGGGATCTTGGGCGGCTTCCTTTATAAGGTTTAGGGTTTAAGGTTTGTGGTTAGGGTTTAGTTTGGGGTTTCAGGTTTAGGGTATAGAGTTTAGGGGCCTGTAGGGTGTTGCAGGCACGTTCATAGGCTGAGGGTTCAGGGTTTAGGGTTTAGGGTTCGAAGGCTTAGAGTTCGGAGTATTTAAACCTTCTAGTCACCTAGGGCTTTGCCAAGCCTCCATGCGAACAGCAGAGTAGCCTGGTGTTGTGAATGGTGCTCCGAGCGACACAAACAGCTCCTCACGGTCATCACCGCTTGAAAAAATCCAAGCCTTGAACCGTAAACCCTCGGACAAAAACGCCCAAAAAAGCCAAAGCCCTAACACCCGAATCCCGCAGAACGCAAGAAGGTGCTTTTAAAGTAAACCCCTAATTAAACCCTAAACCATAAACCCTAAACCCCGATCTCGGCAGTCTTCCCCCGGGCCTCTACCAGCTTGAAGCCCTCCGGGCTGATAACCTGCAGGGAACGGAAGCGTCTGAGGACTTCTTAAGGACGCAAGATAGCCTAAACTTAAACCCGAAACTTTAACTCTCAAACCTAAACCCGAAACCCTGGACCCTAAACCCGAAACCCTAAAACCTGAAACCTAAACCCTACACCGAAACCCTAAAACCTAAAACCTAAACCCTACACCGAAACCCCAAAGCCTAAAACCTAAACCCTACACCGCAACCCCAAAGCCTGAAACCCAAACCCTGGAGGCCTGGAACATCGAGCCGGCTAAGACATGCGGAACACGTGGGTTTAGGGTTTAGGGTTTAGGGTTTAGGGTTTAGGGTTCAGGGTTTAGGGCTTAGGGTTTAGAGGTTTAGAATTTAGATAGGTTTGGGTTTTTAGGTTAAGGGTTGAGGGTTTAGGGCTCCTTATT